GCAGGTTTTCTTCCACAACTCACCGATAAGGTTTGTCAGAGTTATGAATGCGCCGGTGGTTCCTCACCCCGACGTACGTAGAGCTGGTGTAGTTGCACACGTCGCACTTAAACATCTTCTGTGGACTACCTTCTGTAAGAGAAGGCAACGTAAACAGACCTTTACAACTTGTTGAGAACAACAACGAGCCGTTTGCCAAATATCGTAACAATTAACGGTGCCATAAAAACATAAACCACGCCTTACCTTCATATGTGACCCGCTCCGTTTCCTCCATCGCGGCCGCCGTCTCAGCGACTGGTGTGAGCATTTCCACGTCACCGCTGAAGCTGTGGTGCTCTCTTTCATGGTTTCTTAACTGGCTCTAAAAATGAATAGAAACAGCGATACTGTGAGATTTCTAAATAAAGTAATTATGAAACACTGAATGGATTAAAAACAGCTGGCAGATTTCGCCAATGATGCACTTTGTGGTCTTTATTAGGCATTTTACCTCACACCTCAGGCACAGATATGAGAATAGGGGGCCTGCTTTCACACCTCCCAATTAGCAACTCTTAGCGTAACTCCCAGATCTGCTGGAAAATATGATGAACTTAATAATCTCTGCTGCAGAGAGGCAGCGGAGCCCGATGATACCAGTGGAATCAATACTTTTATCCTTTGCTTGCATCCGACTGCTGCGAACTTTCCTTGCTAATTTATCAACTCGAGCTTTAATCTATTATTACCGTTTGATGACCGACGAGAAGAGATGCTGACAACAGCGACTCGGTGAATGTTGCAGTGTTGGGTGAAGATAAAACCAGAGGCATTATGAGCAGGAGGAACACTCAACAAGTCTTGAATAAAACAGACAGCTGACCCAGCTCTGCCAGCACTGAACTAATCAACAAACTTAGAAACATGTCAGCTAAATATGAGCAGCCTGACACTATTCTAGCTAACTACTGGATGTTCAGTACCCTCAATTCCTCCTGTGCATTTTTAGGATGCTTTTAAGCTGCAGTTGTTTTTTTAAATCAGTGAAATAACAACAATATTTATCTCAATATAAGGAATAAAAATGACAGCATCAACATACGGACTTGAAAGTTCATAAGGAAGATGAATGAAACAAGTGGAGCGGACATGAGGGATTGTACAAATATTGGGAAAAACTAGAAGGACAAATGTGTTTGTCCCGGCAAAACAAAACTGACCAAGACAAAGAACCAGGACCCAGGAGGGAAGAAGTACCAGCCTCTTATTTGTTTCTACCTGCTGACACCGCATATAAAACACAGGGACACGACCACAAGGTAATAAACACACGATGCACCAGCACAAGCATAAATGCTGGCAACGACGGCGGCCACTCGTGAAGGTTACGTCGTACAAAGATTATCTGAGTCTAAATCAGGCCTTACCTCCAGAAGACTCGATAAAACACACCCACTACACACAACTGTTTGTGTTGGTGGCAACAAAGTATCAAGGTGACAAGC